GACATCGGTTGTATCATTCGTGAGAATATTGTCAGAGGTTTTTAGGAGCTACGAAAGTTAGATTCTTATTGGTCCTTCAGTGTCATTGGGGAGGTACCCGTTTGGTCTCACACAACCACATTAAAGTATAATAAGGACTCCGTCAGAAGATGGTGTGCCCCCCTGGTTTTAATGGCATGAAGTATAAAGGAACACTGAGAAGGTCTCGATGCTTTGGAACAATCATCCTCCAAAATACCTTGAAAAACTGTAAATTTACCTTTTTGTTTAAAAAAAAAAAAAAAAAGAAAAGTTATCCTTTTTAATAAAAGTTGAGTAAAGAGGAAAAAAATCACTGATAAATTAAAAAAAACATGCTGTAAAAACAATGCCTCAGATGTTTTCACAGGTCATTTCTGGTGTTTAGTATGCTGACTGTTTATGCGATCTGTTTTCTGTGTATAGACGTGCTTTTATTCAAACAGTTCTCATTGCTCATTTCTGTTTTACAGTCATGCTACAGCCCTTTGACTATGACCCCAATGAGAAAAGTAAACACAAATTCATGGTGCAGACGATTTTCGCCCCGCCAAACGTCACCGACATGGAATCATTGGTAAGTGACTGGGATTTACTTTTGAACCCATTATTTTGCTTCTAATGTTGCAGCGAATAACACAGAGGTGTACCTTTGGTTACGGAGCTCTGAAGTCATTTAAATGTGTCAAAGTGGAAGCATGACTGTAGTATTTGCACAAACTAAAACAGTAAACCTTACTAGTTAAAATCTGTTGAACTGAATAGTTTTTAATGCTTATTGAATTCTTTCACATAAAACAGTTGATCAGCTTAAAAAAAATCCCCATTTAAATCTTTTGTCTTTCTTCCACATTTCCTTTTATATGTAAAAACAAACATTACTTGTACGGTCTTTATTGGTAAAAGGAGCCCTATGCATTCCAGTATCACATGCACATGACTTGTGCTTTAAAATATTAACTTGATTCACTCAATGAAAACATTTCATGTATGATATTTGATAGTAGAAAGTTTTTTACTGTTAAACTTTAAGTTGAAGGGTTATCGTCATCTGCTGAGTTAATTTCCTTACTCTGAAGTATTTTCCAGTTATCCACCAGGGGACAGCAGAGACTCGGTCAGCCAGTAAAACCTGTACATACCTTGTCATTGTATTCATGAACGGACTTGTTTTGAATGAGGTTTAAAATTCAGGAAGTATAGACAAACTGAGGTCTGACTGGTGCTGATGTATAAAATGGAGTCTCATGTTGTGAATTAATCTTTTGTTTCTTTTCTATTTTATCGTCTGTACTATACTTTTCTACTTTATTTCTTTAAAAATTCAGAGTCTGGGTGGTGCCATTTTGAAATATGTTGAAAATAGTTCAAATAAACAGAAATAAAAGGAAAAGAAGCTGCGCCCGTTTTATATAGATTTAAGGCTAAATTGCTTGTACATACAATGTGAAGGAGTTGGCACAGTTTTAGTGTGTGCATGTGTGAACAGAATCTATCTGCTAGAAGTTTAAGTTGATGAATAACATGTTTTCATTTGCTTTTAAATCCTCACTAGTGGAAAGATGCAAAGCCAGATGATCTCATGGACTCCAAGCTGAGATGCGTCTTTGAGCTGCCATCTGAAAATGATAAAGTGGTAAGGTGCAATGATCAGAGTCCTTTCTTGAACTGGATATGTGCTACTAAAAACTCTAGAAAAATAAAAATTGTCTGGCATAGTGTTAGCATGACGTTCCTGTGTCGAGAGCAGAGTGTAAGATCTCTGCAGCATCTTGCAGCTACAACAGTGTTCAGCAACTAGGTGCAGTTAGAATAGCAGTGTGATGATTTACAGGCTGAGACACTGCCCATGGAGCAGTGGTTCTATATGCTTCTGAAAGTATGTCAGGTTGGTAAAGAGGATGAAGCTTAAATGGGTCAGATAAGGGCTGTGCGATATGACCAAAATCTCATATCCCGATATAAGACATCTATCGTCCCGATAACGATATAAATCACAAACATTTAACATTTTCTTTGTAAGTATTTATTACACGGTGTGCTGCGGGGAAAAGCTTGTTCTAATGTTTGAGTCTAAGGTTTTTTAGCACCTGACGGCTCTTTTCTTGCTTCTCATCTGTAAATATTCTGCATACTCTTTCACGTGGTTCAGTTTATTTTGAAAAGTCTTAACAGGATCTTGAGCTTTATTGTGAAAGGTTTATGTGGAAAATAAACAAGCAGACACGCGATGGTTTTACCGTCGTTGTTGCTAACGACAATGCATGAAAACAGGCACTTGTCCGTCAGTAGTGTGGTTATATTAATTATAAGAGAAAGAGAGAACTTTAAGAAATTAATATAGCCACTACAGTGACCATCAAAACGATGAAAAAATATTGCCGTAAACAGTTGATTTGCGACACCATGAAACAAAGGATAGTGTAAAATGAAACGATAGACGTTTTTATATCGTCATCCGATATATATCATTATATCGAACAGCCCTAGGTCAGATCAATACTGCAACGTAGCCAGAAAACCAAAAAACTGAGTGAACGGATTCTGATTATCTGACTGATAGCAGGGTTTACTTTTTCACAGCTAATCAGTGTTGACTGATTAAATAAGTTATATTTTGTAGCACCAGTGTTGCTTAGGATAATTTTTCTATTTCTAGCAGCTGACTGTGAACTGTGTGTAAGTAGGAGCACATTTCCCTCATCTTAATAGGACATACCCCGCGATATACATGATCAGGGTTAAGTTCCTAATCCAAGACATGCAAATCTGAGTAGGATTCACTCTTATTATGGGGACCACTGAAGTAGAAATTAGATAATATTTTCCTCTTATTTATGTCAGGACATCAGTATGTGTCACTTTGAATCATAACCTTTTTTTAAAACTTTTTTTTTTGTTTTGTTCTGGCAGTTTAAAAACAAAAAAAAAAGTCCAGATCAAAGACCTGGCCTTAATTTGATCAGTCTCATGTACTGCAGCGGTTGTTTTTATCTAGACCTGGTCTGATGTGGTTTGGATCGAGGAAAAGGGACTATAAAGACTATAAATCCTAAATTGTGCTTAAATAATCAGTTTAATCCACTTGTTTTAATCAAATTCAGGTTTCATAAGTGTAAATGTTACGCATTAAACTTAGATTTGGTCTCATTGTTGTCTGGATGGAGATGAAATTTTCATATATTTGTTCTGTGTGGGTATCTGGTGTGGTGGTGTTTTTGTTTTTTTTAAAAAGCACCTAGTGGAAAAAAAGCACAGACAGTACTGCTTCATGATGGGATACCTGTTACAAGACTCCTGCTCAAAAGTGAGATCTCTCCCTGTACTATTCAGCAAAAAAAAAAAGCTTAACTTCTTGTCTCTGAGAAGTTATTTGTAAAAGTAGCCATAGCTGAAATCTCTGTGCACGCGGTTATCTTTATATCGTGATATTTACTCTGCTGATATTCGCAGTTTTAAATGCCCTGAATGTCTCTTATTTTTCTCTCGTCGTGTACTCTCAGGCACTACTACATGATACTGAACAAGCATCTGGCATCTGTAGGACTTGTACTCTCTGTTCCACAAGTTCTTTTTGTAGCTGAAGGGAGTTCTTTATGAATGAATTGAGGACCGATCAGGCCACGTGCCTCCTGGATTGTACTGTGTGTGAATAGGTTCCATATTTTAAACACTCAGAGTACCGAAGGTCATCTTCTGCTTACAGGAACATGTTAGCGTGGGTCATGCCAGCCTTGTGTCAATGAAAATATCCCTAAACTATTTATTGAAAACTTGGGAAATGTGTGCTGCTTAACTCCACATAAAAGTAATCATATCCTGAAGTTTCTCCTAAAATACATTAATTAATACATTAATTGTGTTGTGCTCTATTGCCAGTTTTCCAAACTTTGAAAAATTCATTTTGTTGCCCAGATCTGCTCAGATCAGTGAAACCACCGACTGTTATGTAAATGTACCTTCTTGTAGCTCCAGGTGTTGGCAGTGACAGCAGTTGTGTGCACCATGTATCAGGGTGTAGCAAGTCGCACAAAGTGAAAGACACAGCAACGTGTTTTACTGTCACACCTTTCTACTTAAATAAAGACCAAAGGGACATGTGTAAGCAATACTGACGTTCCTGAGCATAGGAGAAATGTCGTATGTAAATGTTTAATTACTAGATGCGTATTTTTTAGCATGCATCAAATTCTTGTGGCCCACAAGAATCGTGGCTCGTCAGTGCGTTTTGCATTTCAACAGCTAACTTTGTCTTTGCTGCTGATGTGAAACACTGCGTGAATAACAAAGGCAGCTCTAACTTTTTTTTTTTTTTTTTTTTTAAGGTGAGAAAAGGTGAAAGCTGTAATGAAAAAGATGTTAGTGTAGCTTAGTGCCTCCACTGTATGTCCTAATAATTTAAAGAGTAGTTCAGACTTTTTTTTTTTTTTATACACACAGAGTTACCTAGGTTAGTTAGGTGTGTGTGTGTGTGTGTGGTCCCCCAATATATAAGTAACTCCTCTGCAGGCTCACATTAGGTCATTTTTAAGACTGAAAAAAATAAATTGAGTTTGTGTACGATCAGTCATCCTTGTTTTCATTGCTTATCTGAGCCTTAGTAGGCCTCGTTATAAATGCCTGACTTGTGGGAGCGATATGATGTCCAGAGGGTTTTATTTGTTACCCTCCAGGAAGATAGCCAGGACTGTGATTTTAATTTTAATGTAGTTTTATTTACTCAAGCTTGAAATATGTTTTTGTTTAACAAATGGCCCAAAGTGATCAGGATAAGCTTCTGTTAAGTACTCAATGCCTTAACTATGTGCTGGCCAATCATCCTCAAGAGCGTAGTTACTCCCTAAAGGTCCGCTTTTGAGCCAGGAAAAACCCAGATCCTGCCCTCGTACTGATTGTCAACTTTCATCTGCTACTACGCAGCACTCTTTTTCCACCCCTCATGTTGTCATGCTGTCTGTGCCACTAAACAAAGCCACATCCACCATGACTTTTGGAAAGACATGTTTTTTTTGTTTTTTTTTCTTTTCGCTTGTCTCTTTGATCTGGCACCATGAGCCTCGGGGCCCTCGAACAAGGCCGCCTTTCTTTTGGCTCATGCTTCCGTCTAGAGGCTAACCTCCATACTTAGCCCAGGGCATACTTAGTCCAGGGCATACTGGGCCTTACCTCATCCTCTCTTTGTTGGGCAGAATGACGTGGAGGCGACCCGAGCCGCCCCCATGATGAACTCCGTGAAGGCGGAGTCGTCGGCAGCCGCGGTGCCTGTCGCTGCCGGAGCGGACGACGTGGAGATGAAGAAAGTGGTGGAGAAGTGCAAGAGACTGCAAGCTGAGTTGAACAAGCTGAGTGAGGAGAACCGGCAATTAAAGGTTGGATATGATTGGTAACTAATTGTAGTCAAACACTTGGATTTTTAATGCTAATGCATTCCACACAGAATAAAACTGAAACAAAGTGTGAATGGGGATTTGCTGTCAAATATAATTGTACGAGCCTGTGAGTACACACCAACATCATACTACTCTCTGGTAGTTTTGAGTGTGTTTGTTTCAAACTCTGTAGAGGCTTGTGACAGCAACATGTTTGAATGCAACACAGCATGTTGTGTGGGTGTGTTTTGCTGGGTACTTCTCACCTCTGGCTCTTCCAGAGCGTTGAACTGACTGCTCTAACAAATCTCTCTCTCATCCTCAGAGTGGAAACATGAATTCTGTGTAGTTGTATGAATGCAGAGTTTTATTCTAATGCACGCTTCACAACAACCAGGCGGTGAGAAGGGACGGCTACACTGAAGGCCTACCAGTCAGTCTCAGCATTAGCAAGGGAAAGACGCGTCCCTCTGCTGGAAAACAGCAGGATGAACGCATCTCTTCTGTTTGAAGAATGCAAGATGTTATCAGTTGAAATAAAAGATTAAAATGTATGGATTTGCATGTTATTCCTCTGTTTGTGGTATAAGCTAGATAAGTGACACAACTGGAAATTCCTGAGACAAACTGGAAAAGGGAGAGAACATTTTCAGGGTATTGGACACTCATTTGAACTATTGCAGCGGTCCCCAACCTTTTTTGCGCCACGGACCGGTTTATGCCCGTCAATATTTTCACGGACCGGCCTTTAAGGTGTCGCGGA